GGGGAGTCCATCCCAACAAGAGGCGGGGGGGGGCAGAAAAAAGTACTGAGAAAGTAAGAGTACTGTCAAAATGAGTATGGGCAGGGGGAAGTGGACACACAGAAAAAGGGTAAAAGGTTTCAAAGTGGCTGTAGGCCATATCTGACCTGAGCTCACTGAAAATAGCATTTCACCTCAAACCAAGGGAGTTGAGAGGAATGGAAGAGCACAGAGAGCATGCTGCCCTTAATATCCTCAATTCAAAACATGAAGAGGGGAGAGCATATGTGCACTGTATAGATATTGCTAAAGCAAATTAACTCCAGGCTTGAGAATTTGAGGGACATGTGCACCTACAGTTGGAATACGCATATGCCCAAGTACTTGCAAGAGATTTTTATTTCATAGCCAAACGAACCAAACCGAAACATGAAAAAATAATGTGAACAGTTGCCAAATCTTGTAGTTGTGCTCACAGCAAAATATTTTTTGCACAAAACGTAGCTTGCATTGAATTTTTTCATTTAGCAAAGTGAATCAGAATTTGCAGCCTTAAACACAGGAACTCTATAACAAGCTTTTGTTAAAGGTTTGCAAGGCTGTCCAGCTTGTAAGGAGCTGGGGACTTCAACAGTGAGTGCCATGGCTCCCATGGGCCTCACATTTCATGGCCTTCCTGCTGTACTGTGCATCCTGCCTCATCCTAAGCTCCCTGGCTGCAGGCTCCCCCATCATACCTCTGAAGTACTCCAGGGCAAAGCCTCCCTTAGAGCCGTGGGCTGAACTGAGCTGCACTACCTCACCCTCTGGGGTGGGGAAGGGGGAGCCAAAGGGAGAGGGAGCCTGGAGAGCCCTGCTGCTTCTGTAACCAGAAAGATGGGGGGAGTGGCAGCTGGGTGGGAGCCCCAGAGATGCAGTTTAGCCCACTACATAACCCACTGCTTGATCTGTATTTGAACAGTTCTGTTATAGTTTGCTTTGCTATTTGTATCTATTCGATGTCTCCCGCGTTATAGGATGGTGAACTCATTTATTCCGACTGGAAGATGGAAAGAGAAAGTGACACGGGAAGACTGATTAGTAAGTTCAGGTTTCTTGCCACCAACTAAAATTGCACATTTAAAGCTAGCCTTTTTTGAGAGATAGATTTAGGCCTTCTTTAATTATACAGAGCATTAATTTGGAAGTCTGCATTACCAATTTGACTCATCAATGACAATAGTAATTAGGAATGAGATCCCAAACAAATATTGAAAATAGTTCAACTGTTACAATAGAGCAGAGTATAGCCATTCCATCATCACTGTGAAAATACGATCAATGATCAAAACATAATAGTTCCATTTATACTAGTTGTCAAAACAAGTGAATTGGCATGGAAAATGTGGGCTCTTGTGCCTGTTCCCATCAGCAGCTCAGTTCTGGACTTTAAGTAGGACTTAAATGCAAGCAGATATACTGACACCTTATAAATACAATTTTACAAAAAAATCCTGCGTCCAGCACACACACAAAGCAGCAGTAGCAGTGTAGAGCAGAGACTGGCAACATTTTTGGCCAGAGTGCCAAAAACACTCACAACCTCAACTTGTAAGATGTTGGTGTGCCAGGGGTGGATGGCAGAGAAGTCACGAGAGGCCCGATCCTTGTTGTGGCAACACAGCCCCAGTCGCTGGCCCACCATCTGCCACAAGGTGTGTGTGTACCTGTTGCCAGGAATGAGCCAGGCCAGAGCTCCACGGACCCTGCTTGAAGCCTCCCACCTGTCTGCCACAACCAGCTCGGGCTGCTCACAGCAGGCAGAGGGGAGGCTGCAAGCAGCTGCATCAGAGTCCGGGGAGCCTCAGCCTGGCTTATTGCTGGCAGCAGGTGCATGTGCGCCTGAGGCGGATGACAGGGAAGGGGCCATGGCTGTGCTGCCACAACAAGAATCGGGCCCCTCACAGCTCCCCCGCTGTCCGTCCCAAGGCTTGTGCGCCAAGCAAAATGCCTTCCTGTGCCACAGGGTTGCCTACCTCTGATGGAGAGGTTCCCACCTCCAAAATTCTATTCACTTCAGCGTGTTGTGGGATTCAGAGCTTAAATGAAACCTTTTAAAATAAGAAATTCAGTTTTGCTAAACATAACAAAATTATTGAAGAAACCAATATTAATACTTCATTTGCATATGCATTTAAAATCAAAAGGTCAGCAATGGTGATATAGTAATGGTGCACTTTGAATAGTTTGGGGATGTATCAAAGAACTAACACTGTACAATATTTGAGCATTCATTTGACAATATAAAATCAGGTGCAAGAAATATTACATATATTGTGGAATTGCATTGACATAATGCTGCTGTAAGAACCCAAATTTCCGTATTTCTTGACATGCTAATTTTAACTGGAATGGCATTTGCTTTTACTAGTCAAATATTAGCATTTTTAGCTGAGGATATTCAATGTAGAACATTATATTGTGAGAAGCTGAAACATTAAAATTGCTTTTATTGTTTTGGTTATGAACTAAGAAATGCTGACTAATCTACCAATTCATAGAAGCACAACTCAAGGTCTCTCTTTATAGACAAGTGAGCAGCATATTTCAAAATAGAAATATTTATTTCTTACTTCTAAAATAGTGTCAGCATTTCATGGAAGTACATGTGGACCAGGAAAACACTAGTATAAATGACTGAATTAATTAAATGTAGTCTTGAAAGGCAGGTACCATGCTTTTAATAGCTCCCCTCTGAAGCCTCTGGCCTATGGGACTCTCACTAAGAAGCTGGCTGATAAAATTTACTAGAAAATTACAACAAAGAGACTTAGGGTATGTATAGGTGTTACATTTAGATCAAACTAACCAAGGTTAGGAGCAGGCCTCCTGCCATTTTTTTTCCTTCCCCTGGCAGAGCCTGCCCACATAAGCTGCCGGTGGGCTACACAGCTGCTGAGCGGTGGGGGCCCCAGTCCTTCCCTCTGTGGCGGTCCTTCCCCTCAAGTGTCCACATTTATAGGCATTTAATCAGGTGTTTTAGCCAGGTGGCATTCACCATTATGGGAGCTAGACTTTACAAGAATCCTCTTGTACAAACTTTTAGATACATTGAGGCTGTTTTACTTTATCTGAGCTACTCAGCTCCAAAGCATCTGCATCAGAGGCACCTAAAAGAAGGAATATATAATGCTACAGAGCTTGATTTTACAGACCTTATTTCAGCATAAAATAATCCCCACTGGGAGAATGGTTGTAGGATCAGAGCCAGAGGAAATAGAGTTATAGGTAACAATCATCTTTTTCATTTCTTTAGGTCAGAAACCAGCTAATAAATATACCATCCATGATGGAATTGTCAATACTGTACAGAGATCTCCGTTTTTTAAAGACATCATTCTTAGTATTGGAGGCTGGAATTTTGCCATATGGAAAGAAGGTGTTACAGTAAGTTACTGTGAAAGCAGTTACTGTAAAAACAGTAACTCCATCAACAGTAATTGATGGAGATAAAAAAAGAGAGTAGCCATAACATATTGCCTCCAGGGCAGTACTTATGGAAGTGATGGTAGATAGCCAAGTCTCCCATTTGGAAATAAATTGATAAAAAAAAAAAAAAAGCAGCAGCTGTTTTTTTGCTGTCCAGTTGTTGTTTTTGTTTAAAGTTTTGTAAACTTGGTTCCTAGGAGAGAGGAAGTAACTTTTTTCTAATACAGCTTTGTGAAAACTGTGGCTTCTTTGCAACCTATTTCCATTTCCAGCAGTCTGCTGTCAGAGGATCCTGAAGATAAGCAAAGCCCAGAAGCTTGAGACAAATTGCAGTGAAGCCAAAAATAATCTGAACAGCAGAGAGAAAACAAGTAATATGCAGTCATTTCTTTTGGTTGTTTAGAGTTAATGGCATGTAGAGGGTCAAAACAGCTAGTTCTGAGTAGAAGGAAATGCAGCTGCTTCTTTCAGAGATAGCAAAGATAAGAATGACTGCAGGAGTGCCTGAACCAGTGGGGAAGTCTTGGTCAACTGAGAGGGGAGAAAAGCATTTTTCACAATCTACCATTTGAAATACAGAAGTTTAGAAATACAGAAGTTGCATTAAGCAAAGCCCAGAAACGACAGACCTTAGCTATGGAAAGCCAGAATACCTCAACTAAGGGAATGGACATGTACTTCCTTACTTCTCCACTTTTCTATGGCAGTCTAGCACTAAACACATTTTTTGACACTACAGTTATTCTTCTACTACAATCATTCTAGTGGTGATGGTTCCAAATTTCAAAAGCAGGAGGCTGGAAATAGTTTGGAACAGATGGGTTTGGTTTTGATTGGTTTGGTTTGACTCTTGCGTTTCTCTCTCTCAATTAAGAGTGGACCAATACTTCAATCATGTTGCTCCCCAAAAAGATATACAGTAGGACACTGGTCCTTGTCAAGAGCAGGAGTATTTTTCATCGGTAGAGAAGATGGGAATATTGATATTTGGGACCTACTGGAGAAAACTCATGAACCATCCCAGACCCAGAACATCTCTATATCCATGATCACCTGCATTAAACCCTGGATTGTCTCTTGTATGTTGATGATGTTTTACCATAACATTGTATTTTTAAAATAATTATACCTTGATTCTGCAAAGTCTTATGGAAATCCTTAGTGTTACTGACTGTTCATAGTCAGTCTGGGAGATTGTGCTCTGCATAAAATTCAGCATGTGCATACCAGTAAGTGTTTTCGGGATGGGACCCCTCACGTTTTGTTAGGAAAAAAGCACCATTTCTTTTGTTTTCTAACAAAACAAAATAATTTGTAGTAAGGGACATTTGTTAGAAAAATAAGTCAAAATAAGGTATTTTTTGCTGTTAAAAACAAAACAAAACAAAAAACAGGCCTTTGGGAGCTGTTTACTTTCTCCACATTTACAATAAACATCAGTATGCAAGCTAGTACATTTCCAAAACAGCTTCACGAGGTTTAATAATTTTATTTTTGAAACTGTACATCGTAACACATTTTTAAATTAGTCTCGCAGGCATGTTACATAACGTACTGTACAGAACAAACAAGAGCTTTCAAATATTTACTTTTTCCTGTGGGAAACCAAAGAAGCCACAGAAGTTCCATGTTCTTTACCAGACACCAAGATGGACATGGACCATCTTTTCACTGTGTACAGAGCCTGACACAAATAGTTCCCAGTCTGTTTAGGATCTGTGGGTACAATCTAAAAATTTACAATGACTCAAATAACCATATTTGGTAATGTGTATGAATAGCTTAATAGAAACTCTAACCAAGTAATGCTAGAGTTCATGGGTAAGAACACAGAAATATGGAAATTGTCATAACAGATCAGTCGCAACAGGCCAGCTATTCTAGTATTGACTCCTGCCAGATACCACCATTGGGAGAAGAGGCAAGAAATGCCATAATGGATAATTATGAAATAATTGATTTTTAGAAGGAATCTCTTCCTAAACTAACTATTAGTGGGTGACTTTTGTCCTGAGGTCTGAGGGTTATGCAAATATGCTAATCTGCTGATTGTATCATTTTTATTTTTGATAACCTTACAGCAAAGCAGCATTTTTTAGCCATATCTGATGACTTGGGAACACTACATATTTTAGAAATCTCTTGGACGTTAAGTCATCCTTCAAGCAATGAGGTTTGTAATATCTTTTACATATGACCAAATACCTTGTGGGGCCTCTGGAAAAGTTGAGAGAAATGTCCTTGTGCATTATTAGATGCCTGTATATTAAAGGTGATTAAATTGGGGTCACTATGCCCCGCCACTATTATTTTATAACATCGCATGTACCAAACAAAGTTGAGCCTGCCCTGTATTAAGATGGGAGATTATTAGGGAAAACCTAAGTACTGGAAAATAGTGCACAGAACTCCACCTTTATAACCAAGCAACATGACAAAAGTAGGAAAGCCTGGACTCTTTTTGGCCATGTGCATCAAGTGTCACCTGTTTTCATAAACTATGGGAATCAAAACAACATGACTTAACATTCAGAACAGTAAATATACTAAATCCCTATCCTCCCCCCACATTTTCTTTCTGCTTGTCTGAATTTTTCCCTTTAAACTTGGCCTGTTTCCAGTTAAGTCAATGACATAGTACAGCTTTGCACTGAGAACCTAGCTCTAAATCTTTTAGGGGCCAGTCCTGTAAGCCTTTACTTACCTGATTGTACTTGCTGTTCAAGTGATCAAGGACTATTCGTATCACAAAGAATTTGTGGAATTCCATACATTTTGCATTTCTTTCTCTCTGTAACTGATTCAGTCTCATTCCTTTCCAAGGAAAGCAGATTAGAGCCATCTTGTCCATTCTAGCAATCTTCCTTGGTGGCTGCTTGGTTCCCCTTATTCTCCTTCCTTTCTCAGACCTCTTTTACTCATTTACGCACTTCTAGATCAGGGTAGCATGGGGCCTGATCTCAGCATGCAGGGTTAGGTGGAGGCACCATGGGTACCAAGAGCCTAATTCCAGGACACTGGGCTGGATGGGGCCTAATCGTGGCACATGGGGCCATTATGGAGCCCAATTTGGCCCTGCACTACTCATCTGGTCTGGAGGGCCAACACCGTGAGCCCCACTGATTTATATTATTACAGAGCTGTATTTTCTTGTCTGTATTTTAAAAGATGCTTTATACCAGGGGTTTTCAGCCTTTTTAAAAGTGTACCCCCAGCAACCAGATGCAAACCAGAGGGGGTGCAGGGGTGGTGCACAGCTGGG